CGGGAGAGCAGGACAGGCCGAGGTGTTTCAGACACAGGGCTCCGCCTGGCTTCCCCTGCGCGCACAGGGCCAGCGAGAGCACCTGCTCGGCGTGGACGGGATCGGCAGGCGTGGGCGCGTGGTGTCACTTGCCATCCGCCCCTCCCACCATCCTCTCCGGTCCCAGGCTGCAGCCCCACAGGCTCAGGAGCGCGCTGGCCATAGTGAGGACACCGGCTGCACAGCTCAGGGCCCTCCCTGCCGGCTGCATTCCCTGAGCCCCAAACCCCAGTGGCGAATCTGTTTCCTGTGAGCTTCCCTAAGCCCGGAACACAGACAGCTGTGCACCCCAGGAGCCCCTGCATCCATGTACAGCAGCTACAATTTATTCACTTAATATTTTTCTTTAAATTGGCTCAGCTGTTCCACAAATAAATTTATTTAAAAAGGCAACTTCCTGTCGGGGCCACACATGGAAAACCAATCCTTCTCTAATACTCATAAAATATGCATGGCCGTTAGAGTGAGGAACCGCGGGTCGCACAGGAGCCTCTCCCTCACCCTAGGGAGGCTGCTCTGCCTGGCACGGGTGGCTCGAGCCCTGGCTCCCCAGGGCCAGGTTGCCTGGGTGACAAAGGCCTCTCTCCCAGGCCTCGGCCTGTCTGAGGGGCCGCCCTGCCTTCCTGGGACGAGGCTCAGGCCCCACGCGGCCGGGGCAGGCGCTGCCTCCTCTTCACAGGGACAACGCCGGATGGCGGATGGCGGTGATTGAGTCCCTCGCCCCAGTCGGTGGAGGTCCCGAAGGGCTCCCACTTCACACACTGCCCTGACAGGTCTCCTCCTCACGCCTGGGGGAAAGGAAGGGAGCAGGGAGAGAGAGGAGGGAGGCAGGAGGGAGGGGACGAGGCGGAGGAGAGGGGAGGGAGGCAGCAGGGAGGGGACGAGGCGGAGGCGTAACCCAGGCAGACAGTGAGCTCTCCGACCAGACCAGGCGCGCCGGGGAACAAAGCGAGGACAGAGCGGCCTGGGCTCCGCGGGGAGACGGCCATCGCCTCCTCCACTCCTCAGACACGGGGTCCTCTGTAACCCACCATGCCTGGGTTGGGACACCGTGATGTTAAAAGTCTCGGCTCTCTGTGGGGTTCACGGTCTTGATGGGGAGACAGGAGATAAACATGGGCATGGAGGTCAGCTGGTGGTAAGCACTGCACAGAAGTGACAGGGAGGGAGGCGATGTGTGTGCACAGCAGGCCTCACTGAGGAGGCCACACTGTACCTGAGACTTGGAGGAAGACAGAGAGGAACTTGTGACCGTCAGGCACAAGGGCAGCAGGTGCAAAGGCCCTGTGGGGGAAGCTGGGTGGGATATTCACCACCACCCAAGCCCACGGCCACCTAAGAGGGTCATAGATTACCCTGGGACCAAGGAAGCAGGACTCTGAGGACAGACCACTGGGTTTCCAGCACGGAGAGGTCTCCACGTCCAAGTGAGAAGGGCCATTTCTGCCAGGCACAGTGGCACACACCTGTAATCCCAGCACTTTTGAGGCTCAGGCAGGAGGATCCCTGTGACCTCAAGGCCAGCCTGAGCTACATAGTGAGACGCTGTCTCATAAAAAAGGCCATTTCTACACGCTTTTATCCAGAAAAACTTTTATGTCACTGTAGATGAATGGCCCTGCTTTGATTCCTGTTTGACTGGGGACAACAAGCTCCTCTCCAGTGTGAAAGATTGCAGGAAGAGGCATTTTTACAGTGCAGCCCTGATCCTCAGCTCTGTCCTTTCTGTAACAAAAAGTCAGCACCATCATGATGTCAGATGGGTTTAATTGGGAGCTGGGGCCCTGGGGAGCTGGGCAGAAGCCAGGGTAGCTCTTGGAGACCCCAGGGTGCATCTGGGTGGAGTTGTGCCCCCGAGAGTGATGGGTGGGGCCTCTGCTTCACAGCAGGGGTGGGCCGGGTGGACCCATGTCCCTGGCCCGACCCAGAGGGCCGCCAGCCTCTCTGCCAGCCTTGACATCTGGTGGGGCTGGGCAGACAGCTGCAGCCAGCAGCGCCCATGCAGACGGCAGCATGGACTGTGCACAGGACCAGGGCCTGGGGTAACGCTGTGCTGGGCTGGGTGGGTGTCGGTCCCATCAGGAGCTCCGCCTTCATTGGTGTCAGATGTTTCCCAAGCTGTGGGAGACGGTGCAGTTGCCCACAGAGTGCTGTGAACACAGTGGAGCGGAGGGCACAGGCGATGTGCGCAGGTCTCTGCCACCTGCCGCCACGGCCTGGGCAAGCCTGGGTCTCCCAGGCCTCAGGGTCCCTGACGCAGTGTCAGAACAACACACTCCAAGCAGGAAGGGGACGTGTGGGAGGAAGCCTGCTCCTCCAGGAAGCAGAGACCCAGGGCGGCCGGGGTCCCACCGTCCCTCAGGATGCGTCCAGGGACAGCTCCACCCACCTCTGAAGATCCACCCCTCTGGCAGTGCCAGCCCAGGGACTTGGCTTCAGCGGGGCCTCGGGGTGACCCAGGCACAAACACAGGGCTGGGGAGGCTGGCAGGGCAATGCTGTGCCCTTGGCAGAGCTGGGTGGGCCCTTGTCTCGGGCCCTGCTGACCGCTGTGACCACGGCCCGTTTAGCACTGAGGAGGCACCGCACCACTGGACACAACAGGAAGAGTCCAGGGCCCAGAGCTGGGCAGACACAGCCTCCGTGCCGCTGATCTCAGGGGTGAGGCTCTCGCCTGTGTGGAGACATTGTGGGTGGGCGGCCAGCAAGACGTGGATGAGGAAGAGGGAAGCAGGCTCTGCCCAGCCCCTTGCTCGCAGGGGTAGCTGCCCTGGGCAGGGTGTCCACTTGCCTCTGCCTCATATCCAGGGGGTCGCCCTGGGGATCCGTCCTGGAGCTGTTGCTGCTTGGGCTGCTGGCATCCTCACCATGCAGAAGGGCTCTGCTGCTGACCCACCGGGCTCGTTCCCAGAAGGGCAGGACAGTGGGACCTGACCTCCTCCATCATCCCTGTTCCCGAGGCGGTCTCTGTCCGCAGGAGGGTGGGTGTGAGGATCACACCCCAGAGCAGGACGGGCCGCTGCAGCCAGCTCTGATCAGCCCCGTTCAGTCTGCATGTGCCTCCTCCAGGCAGCCCCAGGGCCATGGCGAGAGGCACTGGGCTGTGTGTGAACCGTTCCCACATGGGGTTATTTTGACCCGGCCTGGCCCTGAGCAGTGTCCTCAGCAGGTGGCATAGGACAGGACATGCCGAGGAAGCATGCAGTTGATTGGCAAATCCTCTCTGCAGACAGCACCGGGACTGCGGGCCCCGGGGCAGCGGGGGCAGCTGCCGGGGCTCTTCCTGGGCAGAGGCCGCCCAGCCTGTGTTGCTCTGCAGCCAGGATCTGCTCTTCCAGGTGCAGCCGGTCATGGGAGGAGACAGATCCCAGGGCAGGGCCTCTGGCGGAAGGAAGGCTTGTTCCTCTAGGGTGGCACTTGGCTGCTGCCGGCATATCAGAGCCTCACTTCCGCGAAGCACAGCCAGAGGGCAGCACAGCCAAGCTGGGTCTGTGTCACACATGGCTGCCCAGCCGCCATTCTGATCCAAAATGTTTGGATAACCGATTCTTCTTGTGCGGTTCTGGAGTTTGAACCCAGCCCCTTCACATCGAGCTACATCCCCAGCCTTGTTTGATTTTTTATTTTGAGACAGTCTTGCTAAGTTGCCCAGGCTGGCTTGAACTTGAGATCCTCCTGACTCAGCTTCTCAGCGTGTTGGGATTACAGATAGGCTCCACGATGCCTGGCTTTGGATAAGTGAATTGTGACAGTACATTGGTTTCCTTTGTCATCCTAGGTACGTTTTGCATTTAACAATATTACTCTGCCACAGGCTTCAGAAGACTGCCAAGGGGGTCTCGGCACCCAAAGGCTTTAAAGCAACTGCAGCACAGCAGCGGGGAGACCCTGTGATCTCAGCACCTCAGGCTCCGGGGCTTTGGAGGGCTGCAGCTCCATGACTGCGGGGCTCCACGCTCACTTCAGCAGTGGTGCAGACCTCAGGCCCTGGTTACACAGGGATCCCTGCAAAGAAGCCCGGGCGTGCCCAGGTCCCCGATCCGCTCATGCACAGGAGTTTTGGGATTCAGTGCCAATCCCGCCTCCAGCGCCGCCCAGTGCGACCCAGATGGTGCATTCCTTCGGAAAGGTTGGCAAGCCAGGACGTAAAGAAACAGAGCTATCTCCCTCCGGTTGGTCAGACCCAGCCCAGGCCTGAGTTAGGGCTGCATTCACTTGGCAAAGTGTCCCTCAGATGTGGTGCATCCAGCCCGGACTTCTTCCTACTGCCTGTTAGGGTTTGGATCTAGCCGTCCTCCTAAGGCGTCCCAGGCGCTCCTTGGTGGGCTTCTGGAAGGTGACTGGATCACCCGCGCAAAGCCAACTGGGTGCGGGAGGCGGGGTCTGCGGGAAGGGGAGGTCCCTGGGGTGTGACCCGGAAGGTCCATCTCCCTCCTGGCTCCTCCCCTCTCCCTGCTTCCTGTCTGCCATGCGGTGAGCAGCTGTCCTCCGCCAGCCCCTCTGCCAGCCTTCTACCTTGGAGCCGGGCGATCCTGCACAGAGACGGCTGCAGACTGTGAGCTAACATGAAGCTTTCCCCCTCCACTGGGGGATGTTGGGTCTTGTGTCCCAACACAGGGAAACTGACTAGCGCACCTCTCACTGGCCCTTCCTTCCGGTCTTTGCTTTCTCCTGGCTGATGTGGGCCACACCCAGTCTTGGTGCTGGGCCTCTGTCAGGGAACAAAGCGAATGATTCCAGCAGGGAGAGACGACAGTTAAGAAAATAACTCAAATATCAGATATGGAGCGTGACTGGAGGGGCACTTGCTTGGGGGCCTGGGCTTCCAGCTGCTGATGCCCAGGTCCGAGTGGCTTCCAGCTGGTGACGCAGGGTTGATGCACACACCAGAAACAACTGCTTTGTGTGCACAGGGTCGACCTCAGTGGAGCAGTTACTTAGAAACGAAAACAAGTAGACCACGCACAGGTAACTGCATAAGCAGCAGCGAAGGGAAGAGGCGGGACCGAGGGCCTGTGTCGTTCCGAGGCTGAGGTTGAAACAGTGACCCCAGCGTGACGGCCTTAGAAGGGGGCCCGAGATGGGGCCCGTGTGTCACAGGGAGAGGAAGACCCCACCCACCCACCAGGAGAGCACAGAGAGCTCCGTCAACCCCACACCAGGGACCGAACCTCTGCAACTTGAGCCCGGACTCGCCAGCCTCCGGCAGGGTGGGAAGCAAGGGTTTGTTCTTCAGGTGACAGAGGCCTGGGATGACCGAGTCGGGCACCCAGGATGTCAGGATTGTAAACAGAGTGGCCGGGCAGAGCCCCACAGAGAAGGCCAGACCGCCAGTGTGGAGTCTAGAGGGAGGGTGACCTGGAGGTAGGCCAGGAGCGGCAGGTGGCAGAGGGAGCGTGGGCAGCTTGGGCACACTCTGAGGACTCTGGTGTCCACTGCCCACGAGGGAGCCCACGAGGAGGCTGAGAGCAGAGGGGCTACCTGGCTCGTGCTTTCCACGGATGCCAGGGAGGTGACTAACAGCGCGGTGCAGCCCAGCAAGCTCTCCTGCCACCCCTGTGCCCACACCACACTGGCTGTGACTCTCCTGCCAGAGAAACCGAGGCCCATGCGAGCGGCAGCCGCTCCCCCCAGCCCAGCCCACTTACTGAGCTCGGTGATGCTGCCCACGCGGGTGGCCAGCAGCGACTGCTCGATGGTCCGCAGCTCCGACTGGCTGAACATGGGCAGCTCCCCTGGCTTGGCCGCCCGCTGCGGCTCACGGTGCAGGTTCAGGCTGTCAGGCAGGCTCAGGACCCCTGGGCAGAGAGAGAGGGAGAGGGTTACAGTTCGTCAGAGCTCGGCCACACCAGGGCCACGCTGCCAGCCTGCAGGGCAGGGACGCTGAGCCTAGCTCCCAGGGCCCACGAGGAGCTGCCGTGGAGCTGCACTAATGTGGCGCTGGTGGGGGCTGGTGCATTTCCAAAGGGTGTGGAATGAGTGCCCCGCAGCTGAGTGGGGATTCTGCTACCTGGAGGTGGTCTGGGGACCCAGGGGAAGGGCTCTGCTGACAGTGACTTCTTGCTTTCTTTTCAACACAGGTCTAGGTATGTAGCCCAGGTTGGCCTAGAAATCACAGAGATCTTCCTGCCTCAGCCTCCCAAGTACTGGGCTCACAGGTGTGTCAGGCTGCTGCCTGCGCTCCTGGCTTTCTCCCAGAGGTGCTAAGTCCAGAGATGGACCATCCAGGCGCTTCTGTCACCCGTGTGGCGAGCACCTGGAAATCACTGGAATCCGATCATCCCCTCCCTTCCCATTCCCAAGGCAGCCAGCACACGCGGGTCACTCAGGCCCACCCAGGGCAGCAGGGCCAGCAGCCTCGGGAGTCCCGGGCTCGACGACGGGTCTGTCTTTGCTCACAGGTAGTTTGGGGCAGGACGCACTCAGAGGCCCAGCAAGACCCATCAGAAGGACCTCGCTCCTGTGCTCTGCCTCTGCCAGGAGCGGACCGTGCTTTGCTGGCCTGCTCTAAGGAGGGCAAGAGACTCACACTGCAGCCGCAGCAGCCACCTGGCCTCTGAAGCTGCTGCATGCCTCACAAAACAAGCGCTTATCTGGTTGTTACTCAGCATCACCATGGGGAAACTGACAGATATACCCACCAAGCAGCAGACACCGAGGACACAGTGAACAAGGCAGATGCTGCTGCGTTAGGGGCCGAGGTGGGGATGAGGGACAGAGTCCACATCACCCCTGTCCTCAGCAAGGGCCCGTCTACATGGACAACCACAAACCAACCAGCACTCCGTATGGGAGGGGAGGGATGGAGGACACCTCGGCCGCTCCCGAGCTCACACCGGAAGGCTCATGCGGCCCGCTGTGTCCCAGCCCCCAGAGGCGACCTGCAGGTGGGAAGCAGCAGGAGCTGTCCAGACAGAGCAGAAGCTCACTGTGCACGAGCCGGGCCACGCAGCGATTGGGGACACTGCTCCAGTGCCACAGGACAGGCTTCACGCACTCTGCTGCCCACCACAACGGAGAGGGCCACGGGCACAGGGGTCGTGGATGGAGAGTTAATCACCGATACATAACACACACGCGATGTCACTTGACCTCCAGTGGTCAGGAAGCTGACACCACTTCTAGGACTCGTCTCCAGCCACTTAGTTTTGACTGTGACTCAGAGGTGACCATGGTACCTCGGTTCACGAACTTAATTTGTTCCGCGATTCTGGAAAAGGTGGCTGTGGCTATGTTCATGAGAAAAAGACGGCCACAGTCGTGTTTGTTGCCTGATGTGGAATTCACGAACAGAAACAAAATTGGTGAGCCGGCCTCTCAGGCCACAGTCCAGGACGCCCCAGCCCTCACCATGCTGCTCATATTTCCGTGAGGAAACAACATGGAAAGTATCCCTGGTCCTCAAGGTGTGGTGCCATCTCAGTTTTTCTCACCACTTCCTTGTCTGTCTTCTCCATAGCGGTGCTGGCTGTGGACCCCCGGGGCTCATAAGAGACAGCGTGAACCCCAAGGTCCAGCGGGTTCTGAGCCCGGCCCAGAGCAGCCCCACAGGGACGGACCCCGGGCTGCCACAGAAATGCCCCGCACAAGGCTGCCTCCCCTGCTCCTCCGTCGGCCTGACTGGGGGCTCTGGTCACCCCATCCGTGCTGTGTGTTCCCGGCCCTGTGACATCAGAGGCTGAGCCAGCGGCCACCGCCACGGGGAGGACCTGTGTGCCGCTCCTTGCGTGATCCCTGCTCGGACACTGCTGACCCTAATTTGGGGACCTCCTGTCCCTCAAAAAGCTCACCGCACACGCATCAGACAGTCAAGACCCAGAGTGACAAGTGACCCAGGTTTTAGGGTTCCTCTGCCCGGGAGGAACAGGGTCCCAGGTGTCAGCCGAGGAGAACCGAGAGCAGCCCCGAATGCTGGGAGAAGAGGCCGCCTGATTAACTGCGGGTTCTCCGGTGCTCCCCAAGTGCCTCCCTGGGGTTTGCAGTGTCTGTTGCAGGGAACCAGGTCTGCGGCTGGAAAGGCGGCCGCACACACGGGTCAAGACGGGGACAAAGGACGCTGGGCCCCGGGGCCTCAGCCTTGGTCTGCCGCTCCCTGCGCTGGACCTTGAGCTGGGCCTGGAACCTCTGGACCCAGTCCTCGCTTCTGTGGACTTTGTCCCCCTCCAGGCAGCTGGGGGCGAGAGGGCTGGGAGAAGGCAGGGCTGGTGTCAGAGCCTCTGCTTGGGTGAGGACCTGGGAGGGGCAAACCCGCTGTGTGCACACCCAGCTCTGGATGGCTTTATGCTTAGCACGTGCATGATTTCCCTTGGAATTATTCTTCCTTTTAGAGAGAGTGAGAGAGTTATGAAATTTAAATGGGGAAATATAATTATTCCAAGGCACTTTGAGAGCTGGATTACAGAGATTTGGGAAATCTGTAATTGATCTATTATGCAGAGATTTTATTCTGGGTTTTCTTTTCTTTTTTCTTCCTTTGAAGGCTCTGTGCAGGCTTCACTAAAACTGGAGTCACTCGTTTGCTTTTGTGTGAGAATCCGTGGGTGGACAGGAAGGCCCACTGACATACGCGCGAGGTTCAGACCCTTCTCAGTGGCCTTGCTGGGAGCCGAGGACACTGCATTCCGGGGACTGAGCCCGAGCTTAACTACAGAGTAAAGTGAGGTTGACTTTGGAGCGGGGTGTCACGGTACACGCCTGTAACACCGGTGCTTGTGAGGCTGAGGCAGGAGGATCGCTGTGAGCTTGAGGCCAGCCTGGGCTACATAACAAGACCCTGACTCAAAATCCCAAAAACCAGATATGACTTGGGGCTGAGAGAAATGTGTTCCATAGGGAGCCAGGGTCTCCCTGGAGCCCCAGGACCTTGGGGTGTTCAGTGTACTGATTTCTCACAAGGTCCAAGATGGGCCTAACAATGACAAGCAGGGCCCGCTGCAGAGCCTCCTCTGAAAAGGAAGAGGGAGAGGAGGAGGAAGAGGGAGGGGAGGACAAGAGCCAGCGTTTCCTTTGTTCTTGCGTGTGCCAAGCACTCCACGCCTTTAAGTGTAAACCTACTTTAATCTGCACAGCGCCCCGTGGGACAGGAACCAGGCCCTTTCGGAAGACCGCGAAGTGCCAGTTAAGGTCGGGAGTGGCATCACCAGTGCTATCAGCATTTACAGAGCTCCGTGGCCTGGCTGGCGGTTTCCGTGCTTCCTGCTGTCTTAACCTGCCCTGCAGGTCCTGGTGCAGCAGGCAGGAGTAGAACCAGGGAGACCGGGTCAGGCTGGGCCCAAAGGCTGGCGCCTTGAGCCTGGCGGGGCACGAGGGGAACGGATGCTGCCACACCCCGCCTGCCATGTCTGGCCCGGCCCTCTGCTGAGACACCCAGAAGGTAAATGGGGGTCCTGGCCCAGCTGCAGCTCCCCGCCATCTCCCTGGGGCCCTATGGTGCACTTGGTTTGCCTACTCCTGGGGGCTGGGGGCAGCCTGGCATTGCTGTCGCTAACATCTAAGTAAACGACGCTCTCCAAGGCTGAGGGTTCAGGGTCTCCACACCCAGACAGTGCTGGGGCCTCTGGGACTGCTGAATCCAGGAGGGAATGAGACAGGAAGTGATCAGATCCTTCTGATGCTTGTCAACTGGCCTGGAAAACCCTTCCAAGAGACTCAGCACTGGAAACAAGCCCGGGGCTGGCGGCGATATCCCAGCGAGGTCAAACCCAGGCGGGGCCCTCATGGTCCCCTGTGTGAATGACCCAGAGGATGTCGCCTGAGGAGGAGAGGAGAAAGCACAACAGCCGGGCAGAGCCATGAGCAGAGGTGGCTCTGCAAGCACACAACACAGCACCTGGGGCCCATCAGGCGATGCAAGATCTCTGCAGAACAGGGAGACCCCGTGGGTCAGCCACCCGGCCACCCACACGGCCTGCAGACCCCACAGTCCGCCTCGAAGCCTGGGTGGCAGTCACCACCAGCTGAAAGACCATGAAGAAATGTGGAGCAGGGGCACCCGGGGTCCCGCAGCAGCCACAGGGACATGGTCAGGGCTCCACCCCAGCCGGGATGTAGGGAAGCTGCTGCTGCAGGCAGGGTGAGAAGAGGCGGGGTCTGACCTGCGGGCCTGGGCTGACTCACAGGCCCCAGGAGAACCAGCTTAGGCTGCCACTGGGCCTCCTGTGCCTCTGAACATCATGGGGCCATCATGGCATAAACCCTGGGGACCCTGGAAGATCAAGTGGGCACAGACACGAGAGCTGGGCCACTGATTCACCCAGCGCTTGTCTGCCTGAGTGAGCTACCATCACCAGCATCATCCCCAGATACAGACATCCCAGGGAAGAGCAAGCCCAGGGTGCAAGGGCAGGGGTGTGGGGGTGAGGAAGGCAGGTTCTGGGGGCCCTGGGAATGGCTGCGAAGGGCTAGGTTGAAGCTGCACCCCCTTCCACAGCCCAGGCAAGGCAGGAGGGGTCGCAGAGGAGGAAGTGGCCTCAGGGACCCCACTGCTGGCCTCAGGAGCATTATTGGCCCAGGAGAGGCTTAGGTGCAGGAGACAGGAACAGCGTGAGCAAGGGCAGAAGTACCAGGTGGACTGCAGAGGGGTCCAGCAGGCAGGGTCGGGCCCGGGCCATGCTGAAGGCTTGGGCTCCTACTCTGAGAGAGACCATCTGTTTGCTCTTGCTTTTAGTATTGGGGATTGGATACAGAGCGTCAGCACTGAGTGACATCCGAGTTCTTTCTAAATTTTAAAATTTTGACACAGGGTCTCACTAAGTTGCCCAGGCTGGGCGTGAATTCATGATCCTCAGCTTCCCAGAGT